GTTGGAAACTATGAGGTTTGGTAACCGAATCGGATGGAAATTGGATAGGTTTGGTAACCTACTAGATAAAAAGGGTATTAGTGGTCCAACCGTGTGCGTACTCTAAGCTCGTGTGCCTACACTCGTTAGATGATGGATTCTCGCTAATAAGTGGCTACAACGAGGGATAATTTCGTTGTTAGTAGAAGGTGAATTGATCATCATCTGGATTAAAAATAGAGTAGACTAATCTAAGCTATGTGCACCGCACTGTTAGATGATGGACTCCCGCTAATAGTGGCTACAAAGAGGGATAATTTCATTGTTAGCGAAGGTGAATCGATCATGACTTGGATTAAAAATAGAGTAGACCTACTAATACCCGGAGAACCCGAATTCAAATTGGATGAGTCTAAATGGGGGAAGTCGGAAAATCATTGTCTATCACATGCATCACTTTTCTTATTGAGCTTCGACTCACTCTATGTTTATTTCATACAATGACGAGTAAAGGTGATACTAATATTGATAATGAAGTCGCTCGTTCCTCCCGTAAAAAGGCTCATGTGTGACATGACAATTATAGGATCCACCTTTGCTTGTAAATTATATTTTGTAATTTTTATAATGATATTCAGTACATCGTGTATGTGTATGGGATTAAATTTGAGACTTCGGTCTCTAAACCGTGGTGCACCCAGTCACGCCTTTTAGGTAATCGGCAAAGGAGCCGGGAGCGCCACAATAACCTAGTGCAATTGATGCATTAATATATCTTGCTAATAATACTCGACTCGATATGACATTTTCTATAAACTTAGTAGCAAGATATAGTTCTCTTCCATACGGACACAATGGAATGAAATTAAACATAAACTACGTTATCTTTGAAGAATAATTGATATGGAATTATTTTACTCCAATAAATTGAAAACAAGATTAATTAGTTATGCGGATGTAGGTTATTTATGTAATCCATTTAAAGCTCGATTACAAACTAGTTATGTATTTACATATGGTGATATAACTATATCATGACATTCTATGAAGAAAACTATATCCTCAAACCATGCGAAATACTAACAATTCATGAGACAAGTTACGAATGTGTTTGATTAAGATTAATGATTCATCATATTCGAGAGACAAGTAGTTTATCCATCGGCAAGGAAGTTCTAATAATATTGTATGAACATAATACCGCTTGCATAGCTGAATAATAATAAAAAAAAGATATATCAAAGGTGGCAGAATGAAACATATATCACCAAAATTATTTTTCACACGTGATCTTCAATAGAATGGTGATATTAATGTTCAATAAATTTGATCAAGTGACAATCCATCAAATTTATTCACTAAGGCATTACCTACTATAACTTTTGAGAAGATAATTCACAAGATTGGAATGCATCGTCTTAGAGATCTTAAATATATTTTCAACATGGGAATTAATGTATAGAAGGAATATTGTACTATTTTTCCTTCGAGTAGGATTTTTTTTCCATAATGTTTTTTCTTATAAGGTTTCAATGAGGCATATTTTTTGTACAATGTACATTCAAAGGAGAGTGTCATGAAATCATAAATTTTCATATGAATGTTTATATCCTCAATACTCATAATTCGTTATGTGATTCAATTCACCATTCAATATGAAAAATTAAAAGTGTGATGCAATTGATTCAATAATTTATGTACTTTTAATGGTTCATATTCCCTTTCAATTCTCTTTTTAATTTTAAATCCTATAAATTAATAGGCTTGATTTCTCTTTTTAATTTTGAATCCAATATATAGGTTTGATCGTGCATTAGTTTGTGTATAAGTATTTTATAGAGATTGAGAGAATTGCTTAAAGTTGTTATCTCTTGTATCCTCTTTATTTAATAGTGAAATTATTTTTCTATCATCTTTTCTCCTATCCTTTTTACCATTATTGTAACAATATTGTACAATTATTATTATTTTTATTATTACTATTATTATTTCAACATACATTACTTTAAAAGTAGTCGTAAATTATTATCTATTATTACTATATGGATCTACGTTAAGGAGAGTAACAAATACAAAGATGAAAAAAATAAATAAATAAATAACATCACATCTAATATTATTAAAAATGATAAAAATATTTTCATCTAGTCAAATATATATATATATATATATATATATATATATATATATATATATATATATATATATATATATATATATATATATATATATTCTTTCTCTACTTTTTTTATTTTCCTTTTTTTTTTTCCATCTCCCTACTCTTTGCCATCCTATAAAATTTCTCACAAACAACTAAGTGAGAATAACACAATCCTAAAAGATTTTCAAACTATTAATAATAGAGTGTATTTATCATTGTTTTCTTAGAATTTTTTTATATATAGATTTGTTTATTCGGATATTCAAACCCTCCATTAAAAGAAAAGTGATCATGCATTGGTGATCATGAAAATCTTAGAATAAATAAATAAATAAATAAAAGTTAGCCATCAATGTCAAGTTTTACAAAGAAACTAAACAAACACTCATCTTAGAAAAAGAATGTTGCTACGAGAAAAATTTCTAAAAATTTCGAATATCTTTTAATAATCTAGGAAAAACATTATCTTGAGAATTATAATGTTAGATTTTTTTTTCTTAGGATTTGTTGAATTTTTTTCCTCTCATATATTTCCTATTGTAAAGTTAAAAATGTATAGGAGGGATGAGTAATAATTAAAATTATCTTACTTTTAATTTTTAACCAAGTAATTTATAACAACCCTTTTAGGATACCATAAAATTTCATAAACTCTCCTTTATACCAAAAAAAAAAAAAAAAAAACCTTAACTATTATTTAAAAAAATTGATTTTTTTTTAAAATTAGAGAAAGAATACTAAAAAAAGAAACTCAAAACGAAATCGACCAAAATTAATATTATTCATGTACTTAAAATTAATCATGTCCATTATATATATATATATATATATATACTCTCTGATTCTGCAATTTTTCATCAAACTATCTTATCGTCCTTTCTTACCAGCAGCACACATTATACAACTCTAACTGAAATTAAAAATTGATTTGATTTGAAATTGATCTGCTTCCGCTTATAGTATATGTAGATAACTCTACATGCAGGGAAAGGGAAAAAAGAAAAGAAAAGGATATTCAATAACAATGAGCAGTGCACTTTAAATATATTAAAGTTGTAATCCTGTTTATTACTTGACGTCATTGATGATCTAGGATAAGAAAAAAGAGGATTAAGAGAAAAAATATGGATATTTTCAATATCCTTGTGCATTACAGAAATTGCTAAGTACGGAACTGTGTGAGAGAGAGATTTGCAAAGCATATTGAAATAAAAAATGTATTCTGTTCTCTATTATATACTGAAGTTAACTATAAATTAGTCCTTTTAATTTTACAAAATAAATTAAATATTTTTTTATTTTTAAAAACTAACTATTTAGTTCATTGACTAGTATCAATTATGTTTAATTTAATATTAATTTATTTTAAAAAAATATTCTTATCATCAATCTTTTCATATTAATTAATCTTTTTTCCTTTTTAAAACAAAAAATAAAAAATTGAAAAAAAATAAAACGGAGGAAAGTAACTAATTAACTAGTTTTTAAAATTATAAAGACTATTTAGTTTATTTTGTAAAACTGAAGGGACTAATTTATAACTTATTTTTTGATTCTGAAATGTGGATTTGGCCGACGGGTTTGACCGGTGAATGGATGAGGATGCCAGTTGTCCGTGTATGGATCCGTAATAATGCCGAATGCTCTTTAATTCATCCATGATCCACCGCCTTGTTTCCAAGGGAGGGACCTATTCGGTCAGATGTTAAGACAAAATTTTCGTCAAGTTCCTCTATCGAGAAAAATGATTGATTGAGTCTCTATAAATTAATAATTTGCTGAATGTGAGCTATCTAATAATAATGCAACAATAACTATACTAAGAATTAATTTTGCAAAATTAAATTGAAATGATATGAAAAGTTTCAAAAATGAATTTTATCTTCAAACACTTTAAATTTATTTTTCAAATAAATAAATATTTATTTTTCGCATGTTCACCTTTAACGTGAATCAAGCTCCAAATAAAAAATTATATAAACTAACAAATAAATATATGAATAATAATTTAAAGATAAAAAACCTCAGTTTCCTTTATCTTGACTCGAAAAGTTTTTAAGTGAAAAAATATATAAATAAAAAAATGAAATGATTTGTGGTTATTTATTAAATTAATTTAATTAAAATAAATAAAAGAAACCATAATAACTTTTTTATTTCCTATAAAACACTAACAAATTAACTCCCAACACCGCTACCGCCATCAACCTTGTCAACATCATCATTCTTTCTTTCTTATCCCAAAATCTTTATCAAATTTGGGCCATCTTATATCGTTATCAAATCACATCAATCTTATTACAAAACTAACAAATAGACAAACATCTTTGTTATTTTATGGCAAGACTCCACGTGAGGATGTAAGAAATCATTTTCTTTCATTAATAAAACTCAAATTACATAATGATATTATCAGCATGGTTTTTTTTTTTTCCCCCTCGTTAACAAGTTCACTAATAGACGATTGATATTAAGCAAATTACTGATGTAAAAGAAGGATTTGATTAAATATTTTGTAGTAGTACAGGGATGAATAAGATCGTAGATCCCTTTACAGAAGGTGGCGTCTCGTTCCACCATCTTCTCTTAATAATGGGAGTCAGCACTTAGACTTTGACCTGTGGGATTGGCTCGTCTACACTTGAGGTCCATCATAGACTTCCTATCGGCCAATAATAACTAAGCACCTTTATGTTGCTGATCTGATTCCAAATATAACGCATGTATCCCTTGTTGCAAGCAATGCATGGACATCCAACAAAAAAGGCTCAAGCGTGGCAACATAACAAAGAAGGAACAATGTACATTGATACACTTGATGGCAGGGGATCCATTTCTCTAAGGTAGCAGCAGTTTTTGAATGCCAATTGCTGAAGGCACATGGGTGAGATGGTTGAAGGCTATAAGAAGGAGAGCCTTAAACGAGAATCCTATAAATCTCCCATCTTTACCGATGCCGTCTTGCATTTCTGCTTGCAAAATCAACATGAAGCTACTCTCTATTCTCCTCTTTTCCATATTATTTATCTTTCCTTCATTCCAACACGCATCAGCTGCCTGCCACGTAGATGATGAAGCGGGTCTATTGGCATTCAAGTCGGGTATAACTCATGATCCATCGGGCATTCTTAGCTCGTGGAAACCGGGTACAGATTGCTGCTCTTGGGCAGGCATTACTTGCCTCGCCGACAACCGGGTCACAGCGCTATCGCTTTATGGGCAACCCGACAAACCGAATGGATACTTAACGGGTACAATCTCACCATCTCTAGTCAAAGTTCAAAACCTTGATGGTATTTATATCCAAAACCATAACATTACGGGTAAATTCCCGGATCTTTTATTCGGGTTACCCAAACTCAAATTCGTTTACATAGAAAGCAACAAGCTCTCCGGTCCATTGCCGACTAACATTGGCAAGATGACCCAGCTTGAGGCTCTTGGTTTGTCGGGGAACCAATTCACTGGGTCAATACCCAGTTCAATATCCAAGTTGACTCTGTTGACTCAGCTTAAACTCGGTAACAATCGACTCACCGGCCCAATTCCTGTTGGAATTAACAAGCTAACGAAGCTGACTTTCTTGAGTCTACAAAACAACAAACTCACTGGCACCATACCTGATTTTTTCGCATCATTTACTAACCTTAGGATTCTTGAACTTTCACATAACAAATTTTCTGGAAAAATACCAAATTCAATAGCCTCCCTAGCACCAAACCTTGGTTATCTTGAACTGGGCCACAATGCATTGATAGGAACAATCCCAAGTTTTCTTGGAAAGTTTACGGCATTAGACACACTTGATCTTTCTTGGAACAACTTGACAGGAACTGTGCCAAAAAGTTTTGGAAACTTGACAAAAATATTCAATCTCGATCTCTCTCATAACTCTCTTGTAGACCCATTTCCTGTAATGAATGTTAAAGGTATTGAGTCCCTTGATTTGTCTTACAATAACTTCAACCTCATGCAAATACCAAACTGGGTCACTTCATCTCCTATTATTTACTCTCTCAAGCTTGCCAAATGTGGGATCAAGATGAACTTGAATGACTGGAAGCCAAAGGAGACCTATTTCTATGACTACATTGATCTTTCTTACAATGACATATCAGGTAGTCCAGTTGGGTTGTTGAACAAGACAGATTATCTGGTTGGTTTTTGGGCTTCAGGGAATAAGTTGAGGTTTGATTTGGGGAGTTTAAAGATTGTTGAAACATTGAAGATCTTGAAGTTGTCAAGGAATTTGATTTATGGTAAGGTGCCCAAGTCAGTTTCTGGGCTGGAAAGTTTGAATTTGAGCTACAATCATCTCTGTGGACAGCTTCCAGCAACAAAATTCCCTGCTAGTGCATTTGTGGGGAATGACTGCCTGTGTGGTTCTCCACTACCTCCTTGCAAGGTGAATGGAAAGTAACGACAAATGGTGGTCCATGCTAGTTAGATTAATAAGGAAGTGTTGGCACCCAAGATGTAATAAATCTGTTCTTCTTTTTATTTCAATGTGGTAAATTAGACTAGGAATGTTCTATTGATAAAAGAATTTGCTCAACTAAGAGCAGTCTCGTGCCCTTTTATATCTTTTTGGTTGGCATCTTATGTGCCCTCTTACTGTGAAATTCATAATAGTACTGCAACAACACGAGTGAGCTGAAATGCACAACGAGCATGGCCAAAAGCATAGAAGGATCCAAAAGGGACAAAATATCTCTGTTAAGTCCAGGAACAGGAACAGGAACAGCTAGGCCTATGATGCCGAAACCAAATCATGCCAAAAAAAGTTGTGTACTGTTCCAACAGTCTGTTATCTGTTAGTTGTAGCATTATACCACAACATATTGCCAAGAAAGAATGCCTATATAGAAATTCTTTAATGCAACAGAAGCACACAGGAAACAGCCAATCAATTTACCTATAACAACAACGTTGAGACCCTTGATATATATATATATATGTTTCAGAAGAGCTGAAGTTTAATAACAAAATGAGTCAGGTGTAGAAGATGTGCAACTGGATCATAATTCCCAATTCTGATATCGAGGAATGAGGTTGCAACAAAAAACAGGACTGAAATCAAAATCAGGATTCAGGAAACCTATTGACCTAAAAAGCTGGTTTCCGCAAAGAACCAAAACTGCTACTATTGGGGATAGGGCAACTGAAACTGCTCTGTATTTTTATTAGAATTCCTGTTCTCGATTTAAGTTCTCCAACTTTGTCTCGATGAAAGAATCCTAAGCAGTTCGTATGATGATGAGAATAATTCTCTTATGTTAGCTCCGGCCACATCAAGTGAAAAAGCTCATTCTTTCTTGAATTTATGGGAACTTTGTTATCTTTGAGTAGCAAGGAAGCAGGAGAACAGTCGAGAATATTCACATTACAAATGTTGTTCAACCTTCTGCAGTTGCTTAATCAAGCCCAGAAATAGACTCAATTGGTGGTGGCACGTCATCTATTACTGTCCCTTCTAAAACAAGCTTAAATATCTTGATGAGGAATTCTCTTGCAATTTTGAACAGGGAATTTGAAACATGGAAGGGCTTTCTTGGTCATATAAAGGGCCGCCCAGGTGTATATATATATAACCAGAAAAGGGTTGCATTACATAGCTCCAATCGGCAGAATAAACCTTTTGAAGAAAAAATGACACAAAAGTTGATACATGTAGAGAAAGTAAGGGAGCAGAAGAAACTCAATTGAATTGGGTGGAGAAGAAACGGACAAACAACAAAATCCCCTAATTGAATTGGGAATTTTCAAATAATACACAAGAAGGACTAAAGCTACTAGACTGGGCTTCAGCTACATAGACTAGTTTTATTTATTGTTAGTTGAACTTGGTTTTTTTTTGGGCCTTTGGACTGGTTATAATAAACCTAGGTATCACAGAGTTTTAGTTTCTTTATGTAATCTAAAGGGTCTTGTTGTGTTTGCTTTGTAAAAGTTGTTAAATGTTCTTATCTTTACAATATAAAGAACAAACAAAAGAGAATATCAGTAACAAAATTTCTATAACAAACTTGTCCTCTCTCATCTTTTCTTTTCTCTCTCGTCTTCTTCTTTTCTCGCCTTTTCCCTCTATGCTTTTTCTTTCCTCAACCCTTTTTGAGAATAGCCTTGTATCACTGGTATCAAAGTTGACCATCTTTGGCATTGTTCCATGACAAACAATGCTAAGATGGATGACCTACACAAGTTAGAAGAATCAATGAGGATACCGGCTTAAGAAGCTAATGAGAAAATGGAAGAGGAAACCAAAAGTACACAAAACTATTTTGGAAAATGGGAAATGGTCCAAAAGCAACAAAAAGAGGGATTTGTTGAACTTAAGGGCTTACTCAATGCCCTCATGGTCTTTTCATCCACCACACGACAAGCAACTCCAACTACACCTCCGTACAACTCTACTAGTCTACCACCATCCCCCCACCATAGTGTTTAACCCACCCCTATACCTGTACCCACGTAATCTCTATTACTTACACTCATTACACACATGTTACCTCTATCTACATAAACCCACCACAATCAACACTACACATCTAACAACCCATATTCAAACACCACTTACTATTGTAAATCCAAAAAGCTCAAGAGAGATTTTTCAATTTTTGAAGGGGAAGATATCAAAAGATAGTTGTTTAAATGTAATTAGTTCTTTAAGATTGAGTTAATGGATGAGTTTGAAAAGGTTCAATGTTCCTCTTTCTTCCCGGATGGTAAGGCATTATATTGACATCAAGCCTAAACTCAAAACTTAGGAAGGAAGTTGCCTTGGAATGAGTATGCATCTGCAATAGCTAGTAGGTTTAGTACAAAGTTAGACTCATTAGTTCGACTTAAGAACCTCATATAAATATTTGACCTAAAAACATACGTATATGAATTTGATATCTTGCGGAATAAGACTGCTATTAATGAACAATAAGCATCGAGTATGTTTTTGGTTGGACTAAAGGAAGATGTTCAAGGTCCACTCTTCATATTTGAATCCCAAACACTAACTAGAGCCTATGACTTATCTCGAAAACAAGACAAGCACAAATACCTACCTCAAAAGGCACTAATAAAAAATACTACCTACTTACCAAAAATAAAACCCAATCGTCATTCAACAAATTTAACTAAACACCCGAGCTCACATATAACCCACTTAACTTTAATACATTGAATTAACAAAACAAAAAAAAAACACGTATATCTAGAATACCAAATTCTACCAACCAAGGACCATAACTAGTAAGGAGTTTAAGGAAAATAGGGCAAAAAATCGGTATTTCTAGTGTCATGATACTCGTACAACGAGGCATAGATGTAGGTAGAGAAAGCTTTATTTTATTTAGATAGAAGATGAAGAGATAGAAGAGTTGGAAGAGATAGAGGAGCATGATGAGAAAAAATAAAGTCAAGGTCTGTATTGATGGAAACTAAGGAACCAAATGAACCAATGAGGTGGCATCTCCAAGAGAGGTACAAGATGGCTCGTTTGTAAGCCCAAGATTTGATTATGTTACACATTAAAGATGATATAATAATACAAGCTAAGGCTAAAAAGCTTAAAGAAGATCTCCATGGGTTGATTCAAGAGTGTTAGATATAATGCATTTTCAAGGGGTTAAAAGTGTCATATTAAGAAATAAGGGGGATCCAAGACTTGTCAATCGATCCAAGTCCAAGACTTGGACTCCTTAAATTATATTGGGTCTATTTTTTATATCTAACTTAATTATAATTAGAACTAATTAATTAAGTCGATTTAAGCCTAATGTTTTAAGGGCTTAATTATAATTAGAATTAATTAATTAAGTCGATTTGAGCTTAATATTTTTAAGCCCTATTATTTTTGTATTCTTTTAAATTCATTATAGTTTGTTTCTATTCTCCTTAGGTGACAAGGATGTGTAGAGTCCTTTTAGGATTAGAAGCGACATGTTTAGCTTATTTAAAGGTTGGTTTAGTTTTGTTTCGGAGGAACACAATAATTTTGAGAGTTAATAAAATTGAGAGGATTTTCTTCCATTATTTTTTTGAGAACTAAATCTAACTTATCAAGGATTGCAACCCTTGTGGCATCTCCGAACTTATCATCCTTTATAAATATGGCATTTTTCACTCCATTGCATCATAACTTCGGTCATTACCTCCTTATAGGCAATGAGTCAAGTTTCGCTTATTATAACCTAATTGGGTACATTCATGGAGTTGTCTAGCGATAAAGATGTTTAAGTCTCTTGTCTTTATACGTGGGGTTCATATCGGTTGGTATCAAAGCCTAAGTTGTGCAAAGTCAAGTTGGTTATCAATAATCCTTGCATCTTCTATTTTGTATCTATCTTGTTTTCTTTATTGCATCTTCTTTATTGTTCGTCATAGCTTTTCTTGTTTGAGTCTTGTGTTCCTTTGCTTGATAAATTGAGTCTTATATATAAAAAAAAAAGAAAAAAAAGAGAGAAAGTCTAATATGTTTCGTTTCTATCCCATTGTGTCTCATTGGTTATTATCTTGTGTAAATTCAATTCAAGTTAGTTCTAGTGTCATTCTTAGTGCTTGAAAACTTAAAATTCTTATTTGAATTGGTTTGTCAATTCGTTATTCCAAATCTATCCGAAATCCGATCCTTAAAAAGTGAAGTTGTTGAGTCACTTGTAGCCAGTTCTTGTGTGGTTTGGATTAGTTTGTGAAAGAATAATAAAAAAGTGAGTTAGAGTTGTAAAAGGCTAGAGAATGTGAGCGTATTAAAGAAAAAAGGCTCAAAGAAAGGAAACCCAAGCATTGAGTGAAACATATGGGGGAGTGTTTGTGAGGAATTTTATATAGGTCTAAACATGTCAAGAGATAAAAATTCTAAAAGAGAGGGGAAAGTGATTGTTGATGATGGTGTTTATGGTGAGTACTTAGTAACTATGGACTCTTTAAGCACATGAGTGAAAAGTGAGGAGGGGACACGGAGAGATAATATTTTTCTTATCTGCTATCATGTCAATAATAAGATTGGTTGTTTGATAATAGATGAGGGTGGTTATGTTAATATTGCTAGTCCGAGTTCCCCAAAAAGTTAAGTTTGCCCATAGTTGAACATCTTAATCTATATACATTGCAATGGGTAAATGAGTATGAAGAAGTCAAGGTAAATAAATAAGTGATAGTGTCTTTTTCTATTGAGAGATATAAGGATGAGATTTTGTATGATGTTGTGCCAATAAGTGCGGGTCATATTTTGCTAGAAAAACCTTGGTAAGTTTTTAGGAAAGTGACACATGATGAGTTTAACAATAGATATTCGTTGAAAATGAAGGAGGGGGATGAAAAGTAGCACTTGTTCCATTATCACCTAAACAAGTTTATGAGGACCAAATGAGCGTGAAAAAAGAAATTGAGAGAAAAAAAGTTAAGAGCACTTAAACTTTCGGTCAT